ATCTACTCTGCATAGCCACGATCTTTTGTTCGCCGTCATCTGCCGGCGGAGGTCTGGATTCCACGTGGTCAGCGATTATGGTCCGAGCGTGCGGAGCAGGCAGGCGGGTAGGGAATACCCCCATACCCCGGCCTGCCGCACATCCACGGAAATTATACCGAATATAGAAAGAACTGCACGCCTCCTCCGCAACACGTCCGATTAAAAAAACCGACACATTTCACTGGACGCTATTTGTCAATTACACATCCTTCTGATTGATTTGATGAACTTTGCCGCTAATTTCCCAACGTGTTTAAATTTCACGACACAGTTTACAGCCAACTACATTGCTGACCTTTATTGTAGCATGTACAGTAGGAACATGGCAGGTGGACAAAGAAGAGGTTCGAGAATTGGCAATCATTAGATACATAAAACCATGGATGTCCCATTGCATTATATTTCATTTTTATATTTTTTAGCCTTATATGTTTATCTTATGATTTGCAGTACATTGTATTCATGGCGAAACTGCACGAGGTTCGCTAATCGTTGCTTCACGTCATTTCCAACGTTTCAACGATAACCTGTATTTTACGCAAACAAAAATAGCCGGGACCGATGAATTGGAACCCATTAGAAGACAATGCAACATATTGTTTCAGTGTATGTTATTTCTTTTGTCCCTGCGCTGTAAAACTGCTAATGCTCTAGCCTAGCTGCACTGACGTAGCCTACACACTGAAATGATTGTGATGTATCATTTACCAAAAGTGTATAATATAGACTATAATATAATATATATATATATATATAATATAGTGTATAATATAATCTATGTTATACACTCCTACCATTACTGTCCACAGCAATAATATCCCAGATGGGTTCAAGGTAGGACTTCGTCTGGCAAGTAACAGAGACATTGTGCTTAAAGCTCTAACGAGGTTCTTCGAATGTTTGAGAAAATTTAATAGTTGCTACACTATTTATTACTCACTTAACCAGTTGCAGAGTCTACATACTAAAAAAGAGTTAAACAAATTCAGTTTTGTAAATGTGCAGTACAAACGGTGATGGTAATTTCCGTGCTATAATGTCCACAGTATTACACTTACAGTAATCACGAGAAATAAAAGCTAGCATAGAAAATAAACAATGTGGTCAGCTCTTCTACCCCGGCTCACCGATTGGCTGGGCTAGACAAACTCGGCTCAGGTGAAAGTCACCCCCAAGGCCACAATAGAGGAACAATCAAAGGGAAAGTTAATGAAGAAGAAGAAGAGGTTAATCAAGCACACCGTCGGCAACCATTGTTCTGACACAGCCGATGTATTTCAAACGGTCCACGAACGCCCATAGTATCTCCCCCACCTTATACCGTACCACAGGTAAGGTACTACCTGGTACTACAGTTACTAAGTTACAAGTAAGGTACTACCTGGTACTTATAGTTACAGGTAAGCTACTACAGTTGTATCCATCGATACCGTCTACAGATCTGCACAACTCCCTTATATGCATCCACACTGCTCTGTTTATGGACTACAGGTATTCTACACAGGTACGAAGACAGTTGAAACTACGGCTACAGACGTTACCTTAAAGCTCGGCATCGCGACGATATCACCTAGTCCGAGTCTCCGGCTCTTGAACGAAGAGCGGGCGCGAAATTCACAAAATAAACGCGTGCGTGTGCTGCTGCACGCGCGAACTGCTCAACGCGCAAACCTACCCAATTTCACAACGACTTGCGCCTGTCAAAAAAAGCAACTGCGGAGGCCAAACAGGGCTGAAAAGTGTGTCAATTGGGGCTCGAGATGCTTCGCGGCGGCCCGGGCGAGTATTTATCATCCCCGCGGGATTAACCGCACGACAACCAGTTTTCAAAGCATCAGCCCAACATAACAGGTTTAACTGCGCTGCCGATCGCGCGAAGTGCAAGTCAGAAAGATCAGGGAGGGTGGGGAGTGGGAGAGGGGAGGGGGAGCCACATCATTGCCCTTATGACCGCTACCCCCCGACGGCACTAGGTCAAGCTTAAAGGCCGAATAATTAAAGGTTGAGGTTAAACAAGCAATGGTCAACGTCAAACAAGCAATGGTAAATATCACAATGCAATAGTTAAGGTCAAAGACTCAAACAAGCTGTAGTAATGGTCAAACAAGCAATGGTTAAGGTCAAACAAGCAACGGCCAAGGTCAAGCAAGCAATGGTAAATGCCACACAAGCAATGGTCAAGGTCAAACAAGCAATGGTAAAGATCAAACAAGCAAATGTCAATGTCAAACACGAAGCAAAGGTCACGCAAAGAAACAGTGACAATCACTGGACTATATAGACCAGTGAACTATTTATTACACACTTCTGCGGCTACTATAAAACATTTGCAGTCGATCATTCGACGATGTTGCCAGGTAGCTACTGTGGGAGTTCTGCTGTCCAGTCACACACACTTCATTTGCGAAGCCACTTGCTTTAAGGTCGTGTGTTGGGGCTTGTTGCCTTTACTTTAGCAACAGTTTCAGCAACCTTGGATAAACGCTGTTTGTGTAAATCCTATACAAACAGATTTAGATGCTGGCAGCCAGCTTTCAGCTAGTCATCAATTACTGTGCTACTTCGCTACTGGCCCCCCAACTTCCCTCACCTCATCTGTTACTGATGCAGCCATGTACGAGCGAAGCTCAATTTTTGTATCTTTTGATGTGGAAATACGTCAACACTACGCTTTGATTGATTGTTCATAATTTCAGCAAAGCTGTCAAGTTTAACGAAAACACTGGCCTGCCTCTTTGCGAGCAGTTACTTAGGCTGATGATGTTTCATAGCTTGTCTAATAACATGGTAGATGTTAACATGGTAACATGGAGATTTGAAAGGGTGCATCAAAGTATAGATACTTACAAATTCTTAACGATGCGTGTAAAGTAAATATTTTAAAACCCGCTTTCAACTTAATCGTTTTACAGTTTCAATAATTCTGGAGTACTTGTTTTTCTCGTGCCACGAGACATGGCAGTATTCGAAATATCATAATCTATAAGCAAATCCAATAAATCACAGAAATATTAGTCCAGGACAGGCAGTGTATGAAATAAACCGGTTTAAACCCACGTGCGTATCTATTCTTACAGGCTAAAAATGAATTTAAATTTGCAGGAATATGCCTCAGAATGCAAACACTGCATATTGTTTGCCCATATTGATTGGCGCACAGCCTAGCTGCTTGTGAATAAACAGTTTTACACTCATTTCTCGCTAGCTAAACCTCAAATAAAGGCAGTGGAAATTCACTCCTCCACTGAAAAAATATCCCGCGATTCTTAATGGAACGGTTTCCTACAGTCAACACTTTACACGCTGAAAGGAAGTTAAGTGATGCTCGCTGGCTCGTTTCCACAATAATGTGAAAACATTTATCACGACAATGAGACCACTTTTCGCAGCGAGTTTCTCACATGCACATCGAAATAAAATTTGCGTCGAGTCCAATATTGGTTAGCGTTGCTAAGACATGCTCATGGGAAATCAATACAGTCATAACGAGCTTTAAATCACCGTGAGGCATTCAACGCAGGTCAATAAGAAAGTGTTGCTTGATACTGCGAACAGGTGGCACCATCTAGCGACACAATAAGTTTACATTGCTCACGTGAAATGTGAAAGCAAGTTATAATTCACCTCTTTACAGCAACATTCGCGTACGGGTTCGCATTACAATGCATATTAAATAAAACACCGGTGTTTATTACAAATGATAAATATATGACCCCCGCAAGATAATTAATTTGAACCATGTGAAACGAACCGCACATCTCCTGTTTCTATGAACCCATCCCTCTCCTCTCATCCTTTCAACAGGCAATCCGTGCTGCGAATTCCAATCGTCAACATTCCCTTCCAGCTGGTCGGACTGCATGTGTACCGGCAGAGAGTGATACGCTCGTGTAGTATATATCGTTTAGGATACGTTAGTATACTATATCGTTTATGATACGCGTACTGCGAGCGAAGCCTAGACATAGTAGGCAAGTTTTACATAGTAGGTCTATAGTGCTCGCCGGTTTCCCCCCAATCGATGGCCGAACGAGATAAAATCACTCTGTAGCTGATAATACTGCCTGCTTACCGCCGACAAACAAACATGTATTTTCTAAATAATCGCTGCAGGGGGGTAGTAGCAGATGTCTGAACATCGTTCACAGTGCTAGCATGTTAAATCGTGGCCGCACACACACGCACGCACACACGCACGCACACGTACACGCACGCACTTATTCCTTTAGTAGCTAAGTAACTCTCCGATTCCGGGTAATTAATTAATTAAGTAAGTAAGAAACTTATTCCACTCTGATTCCAGGTATAGAGCCTCTTCATTAGCTGAAATTGTTGTCATGCGCGGGGGGGGAAACTTTTCGCTTCCACGCGAACACACACGCACACGTACACGCACGCGCACGCGCACGCGCACGCGCACGCACACGCACACGCACACGCACACGCACACACATTATATATACATACACATCAGGGGTGTCATAATATTATAGACTCGTCTATAAAGCGAAACGCATCGTGCAGCCGAGCAATGACCCGCACGATGGTAAAATTTCTGCGCAGTTAGACTGACCTTTACGAACGATACCCATGTGGATCATTCCATTACCACAAACTACGGCTGAGAGGGTCTATGTCCGCCAGGGTACTGTCGGAACGTACCCTGGTACTATCTAATATACCGGACCGTACCTCGCCTACTCCATTAACGAGTCTAGGGAATCGCCTACGCCTACTCCCTAACCCTAACACTAATCCTAACCCTAACCATATCAAATAGTGACCAGGGTACGTTCCGGTATACCGGACTGTACCCAGGGTACGTTTCGGCAGTACCCTGGGGGACATAGACCCTATGAGCCAAACTACGACCAATAAATCGTTACATTCGTGAACCGTGGATCTTCTCCTTACAAGCTCTTCCCTAAGTAAGGTTAATGCATCCTCCCTACCTTGCATATGTGTCGCTCATGATCGGTACATCTATAGTATCGGCGAGATTGCTTGACTTCTAGTCAATGTCACATCTGGTACTAGCAACGAGCCAAGGTTGTTCGAGGAGCCAGCTCTGTGTGCTCTGTGTATATAAGTATATATAATGTGCGTGTTTACGCTATCACGGTGCCTGCTCGCCGATAATCTAGGGCTTACGTAGTCTCTACTTGCTTGATGAGCATTTCACTGCTTCGCTTGCCCGGAGTCTCTCTGCTGGCCAGCAGGCTTCATTATGCCGATACTAACGCCACCTGGAGGCGCGGAAACTCACTGTTATCACAACATATACGCAACAGATGTTAGCGTTGCTCGCTTGCGGACTTGCGAAGTCCATTATGGGGTGTGACGTGAGTACGTTACGTAGTGGGCACGCCCGCGATTACGATATGATATCGGCGTGGATATGCGGCCTGCATTTGCTCTCGCGTGTGTGCTTTTGATGCGAATTCCCTCTAACAGCGCGGGCTTACACAAATATTTGCCTTCCGAATGCGTTTTGTGAAAACCATTCGCGAATGTGAAATTGCATCGAAACTAAAGCGTGTTCGAAATCCCCGTAAAGATGAGTTGCAAGAACCGCAAATAACCTAACCACTAACTCGCCAACCAAGTCGCTTCACAAAACCAGATGTCATGGGTCCGTCTCATTTTTTCTGCCACGAGGGAGGTGTTTATTTTTAAACATGCAGAAGCTTTTATGATGTATCGAATGAGTCGTTTATGCCAAATTTAATATAGTGTAAATATATTTTCCCAGATACATTGATTATTTCTTCATGAAAAGCCCAAATTTGACCTCTGTTTTCTAAGATGCAAACCCTACATAGAGAATGTCGATACTCGCGTATGCACGCACGCTCGCTCGCACGCACGCACGCACGCACGCACGCACGCACGCACGCACGCACGCACACACACACGCACGCACGCACACATGTACGGGTGAAGGCACCACCCCATACGCACCACGCACCAGCCAACCCACGCGTGGTCACACACAAACACAATCCCGCAATACACAGGCACAATATACAAACACGCACACAATGCAAATATGCAATATACAAATATACAATATATGCTATACAGTAAGCACCCGCATAAAAGAACCCGTAATTTTCTGTTTCAGGCTGAAGTGGTTCTTATATAATTATATGATACATAGTGAGAAATCAACCTGAAGAGGTTCTTAAATAGGTTCTTAATTTTGGGGAGGATATTGTGTACGTTATCTAGGTAAAATTGGCTCTAATTAGTGAATAATTGACACTAATTAATTAAGCAACTGCATAATATTAGAAATTATGTCTGTTTAAATTTATTTGAGTTAATTTATTTATCACCTTTAATTTACTTATCATATTAAACACAATGAAAGGTCAAATGCTGTGAAAATTGATTTGACTAATAGTAGACAGTACAGACAATAATTCATTGTCAGCATAACTGCATTACAGTAACATAACACAGCTTAATTTTCGGTATTTTTTTCATATAAGAACCTGCTTAATTTATCAGGCTGAAGTGGTTCTTATATATATACTAGGTGCTTTATTGGTCCAATTTCAGCCTGGAGGTTCTTAATCCCCAGTTTCTTTTATGCGGGTGTTTACTGTATACAATATAAATGCAATATACAAATATGCTCACAGTGCGTGAGCTTAATCTATATGACATTATAGAATTACATTTCCTCGGAAATACTATACTAATACTATATTAACTGCTATAGTGATACAAGCCTAGACAGTAGTTCTTGTGTAATCTGTGCAGGGCAGAACAGTTCGTTATAGAAACCCGAATATCTCTCTCCACCTGAATCAACTCTCGGGCTTCACCAATTTCCTGTACACGAAGCCATCATACAACCACCCACGCACACGCGCACACGCACAACCAACCACCCACACACACACACACACGCACACGCACACGCACACGCACACGCACACGCACACGCACACGCACACGCACACACACACACATACACATGCACGCACGACTGTGTTGTGTGCGTGGCGTGCCGTCGTGGCCGTGCGTGCGTGCATTGCGGGCGGCGGGCGTGGCGTCGCGGCGGAATGTGCGTGCGTGCGGTGTGTGTATGGTGTGTGTAGTGTGTGCGTGCGTGCGCTGGCGTGCGTGGCGTGCGTGCCGATGCGTGCCGTGGCGTGCCGTTGCGAGCGTGGTGCGTAGCGTGCGCGCGCGCGTGTTTGTGTGTGTGTGTGTAGTGCGCGCGTTTGGCCGTGTGTGCGTGGCGTGTGGCGTGTATTGTGCTGCTGCCCTTCCCCGTGCGCATGAGACTGACAGTTGCTTATAACTGGCACCCCTTAACGTCTATAGAGAAGGCTATGGGAGCCGGCCGCGACCGGCAGGAGAAAAAAAAATACGCACGCGTCACTTATCGGCAAGTGTAAGAAGCGCTCTTCGTCGTATAAATAAAAAAAGATATGGATCGTGTGAACAGGGTAAGGACGATACTCCTGCGCGCGGGCGTGGTTTGCTGTTGTTTTGTTGTAACTGCGGGCTTGTAATAGCTTCGGCGCCGGCGCTGCAGTATCATACGCTGACAGTCTGTATCGGGCTTTTATTGCTACTTTCAATTCATGCTGGGGTGCGCGCATGGCTTGCGAATGATGGCGACCATCAATACTGCTAATGCGACTCCGGTTCTTTTAGTCCGACTCATGTTGAGCACCCCTCCCTTTTCGTTAGTGGCTTCATAAGAAACCAATTTGCGTAGGCTGGTTCGACTCCTAAACCTTAGTCCGCGTGTGTTTTTTTTTACTGGGAAAATATTTTTCTTTCGCATCACCGCAAGGCCTGCGTATGTAGCAGGAAAAAAGAAACGGGAAGTCGGGTCGATTGAGAAGTGAGGTGAAGGTCGGGTTGTCCTCCGGCCGCAGTACAGCATGACCAGCATTCGTCTGATGCGATTGCCTCATCCTCGCCGCATACCGCTCACTCTGCACAGACGCAGTCTGGGATGCTAGCCAGCCTGCCCCCGCATCCCTCACTTCTCACAGACACCAGTCTGGGATGCTACAGCCTGCCCCGCATCCCTCACTCTCACAGACGAAGCAGTCCTGGGATGCTGGCCAGCGCTGCCGCCGCATCCCTGCACGTCTCACAGCCCAGTCTGGATGCTACCGAGCCTGCCCGCATTCACTCCTCTCACAGACCACGGCCTGAGGATGCTAACAGCCTGCCCCGAGTCCCTTCAGCTCACAGACGGCAGTCTGGGAATGCTACTAGCCTGCCCCGCATCCTATCTCACAGACCAACGCTGGGAATGTACCCAGCTTGCCCCCATCCCTCACGCTTAGCATGACAGTCTGGGATGGCTACAGCCTGCCCGCATCCTCACTCTCACAGACCAGTCTGGGATGCTGCAAGCCTGCCCCGCATCCCTCACTCTCAGCAGACCAGCCTGGGATGGACAGCCTGCCCCGATCCCTACACTCTCACAGACGGCAGCCCTTGGATGGTACCCCAACCTGCCCCCGCATCCCTCACGTCTCACAGACAGTCTGGATGCTGCCAGCTGCCACGCGCATCACTCACATCTCGACAGACCAGCGCTGGGATGCTACAGCCTGCCTCATCCTGAACGCTTCACAGACCAGTCTGGGATGCTAGCCAGCCTGCCCGACGCATCCCTCACGTCTGCAGCAGACCCGTCCTGGGACATGGTACCCACAGCTTGCCCGCATCCCTGCACAGCCTCCAACAGACCAGTCTGGGATGCTGCCAGCCTGCTCGATCCCTCACTCTCAAGAACCAGTTCGGGATGCTACCAGCTTGCACCGCCGCATCGCTCATCTGCTACAGACAGGCAGTCTGGGATGCTACTAGCCTGCCCCGCATTCCTCACTCTCACAGACGGCAGTCTGGAGATGCTACAGCCTGCCGCCGCATCCCTCACGCTCACAGAGCCAGTCTGGGATGCTAACCCAGCGCTGCCCCGCATCCCTCACGCTCACTAGACCACGACTGGGATGCTACAAGCTTGCCCGCATCCCATCTACTCTACAGCGACCAGTCGTGGATGGCCTACCAGCCTGCCGCCGCAATCCCTCATCTCACAGACAGACAGTCTGGGATGCTACGCGAGCCTGCCCCGCAATCCTCACTGCTCACAGACCAGTCTGGGAGTGGTTACGCAGCCTGCCCGCATCCCTCATCTCACAGACCAGTCTGGGATGCTAACAGCCTGCCCGCGCTCCACCCTCACGCTCACAGACCAGCCCTGGATGCTGGCAGCCTACCCGCGCATCCCTTCACTCTCACCTCACAGACCAGTCTGGATGCTACCAGCCTGCCCCGCATCGCCTCCATCTCACTAGACCAGTTGCTGGATGCTAGCCAAGCCTTTGCCCGCGCATCCCTGCACTCCTCACAGACAGTCTGGGATGGTACAGCTGCCCCGCATCCTCACGCTCAACAGACCAGCCTGGGATGCTACAAGCCTGCCCCGGCATCCCCACATCTCACAGACGTTGCAGCTCTGGATGGTACACAGCCTGCCTCGCATCCCTCACTCTCACGCGCGCAGACACAGTCTGGGATGCTGCAGGCCTGCGCCGCACCCTCACGATCCCAGACGCAGTCTTGGGATAGCTAGCCAAGCCTGCGTCCGCGCATGCCCTCTCGCTCACAAGACGGCAGACTGGGATGCTACAGCCTGGCCCGCAACCCTCACTCTCACAGACGGCAGTCCTGGGATGCTGCCAGCCTGCGCCCGCATCCTCAGCTCACAAGACCAGTCTGGATGCTACCAGGCGCTGCCCCCGCATCCTCCTCAGCTCTCACAGGACTCAGTCTGGGATGCTACCAGCCTGCCCGCATCCCTCACGCTCACAGACCAGTCTGGGAGGACTGTCCAGCCTGCGCGCCGCTACCCGCTACACAATCCTCACAGACGAGTCTGGGATGCACCGAGCTGCCCGCGCATTCCCTCACGTCTCACAGACCAGTCTGGATGGTACGCCATGCCTGCCGCGCATCCGCTCACTCTCGACAGACCCAGTCTGGGATGGTACCCCACCTGCCCCGCATCCTGCACTTCTCACAGAGCAGTCTGGG